CTCAATTGGTGGAGCGCCGGACTGTTGTGCGGGAGGTCGAGGGTTCAAGCTCCGGCCGGACCAACACCCAGGGTCGTAAAATAATTGAGGAGAATGTGCTACCTTTCTACAATATCAAGAAATGGATGGATATTCTAGTCTTCACCGGATAAGGACGAATAAACCGTAGGTCCCGTCTCTTGCAGGGTTAGGGGTAGGAGACGTTAATTTCCCACGCACGAGATTACTGTGTGGTGGATATCCTTCCCTGGGATGGGATGGGTGAGTATAAGACTGGCCCTGAAAAGCCCATGTGGGAGTGGTCAACCAAAGTATGTATGTATGTATGTATGTATGTATGTATGTGTGTATGTATGTATGTGTGTGTGTATGTATGTATGTATGTATGCACAAATCGGTAAAACCACCAAATGTGCCATGATGTTTTATTACACGACTCGAGCAGTCAGAGGGCCAATAACTAAAGTCAACCAATCAAAATGTTCTATTTCCAGTCCAATACTCTCTAAGTATTGGACCGGGCACTGTCCCGAATAGTCCCGAATGATACAGCACTTGTGTCCCCTTGAACTTCAGTCGTATAATAAATCTCTTATTAACCAAGCTTGCTTGGGACCGTTCTGGAAGAATATCGGCCCTCGATCTTTTTTGTACGGACCTCGCTGCCCTCGGTCCGCCCTGTCAAGACCTCGGACCGATATTCTCCCGGTACGGCCCTCGCGCTTGGTTAATAAGATATATGTACTTACCAGATACTGACGGCATTGTTTTGAATAATCACGAGAGTGAAGAGGTGAATCATCTGTATCTAAGTAAAATGAATTATCGGCAATGGGGTATTTAGAGTTTGGTTTTGGATAAACCTATTTTATAATCCCTGAATGAAATTTTTCTTTATTCTCATCCTTTGTCTGCTTTATATTGTACTAACAGAGTAAGGAGAAGTTCTGTCTTATGGGAGTTAAATGGTTAAATCCCAGAACTGAGCAACATCTAACACCAGAATTATCATGAGATTAACATGAAAAGTGAATCATTAAAGTTTAAAAAGTTTTGTGAGTCCAAAAATCGACAAAGAACGCCATAACGTGGTTCCTATGAGAAATTTATGATATGCTTCCTCAGCGGTGGATCTAGGAGCAGATTTAGGGGTATTCCTCATCACCTGACTGACACCAAAATTTTTGTAACAAATGGTCTTATCGTACTACTCGAAATGAAACATTTAAAGTATGCTGTACTGATCTGTTTCTTAGACTATCTGTACCATATAATGTAAAATGAAACTCCCTAGTTTTGTGGGAAAAGTTTAGATCTCCCCCTTCCCTTTAGCAAAAATCTGTAGCTCCGCCCTTGCACCTGAAAGCATTTTTGTTGTAGAATANTCTTCTGCAGACACTGTATGTAATTCTACATATATAAATAGCCTTTTTGTCGGTTTTTTTATTTATTTTTTTAGGAGCCCATCCTCAAACTACATAAAAGAAACAGTTCTTTCCTTTGAATTTGGGCGGAAGAAACTAGCATATTTTGAAAAAGTAACTCCAACTTTTGAAAACAGACAGACATGTTAAAGTTCCTTTTTGAATAAATAAAGAGAAACATCGATTTAATGTTCCGGTATTTGTGATTATTACCATTCAAAACAGAAAATGCGAGACAAAATGCAATAGATTTGGATTAAGGATTACAAATTGGAGCGGGTCCTTAACTAAAGGGATTTCGCTGGAGTTCAAATAGCATGAGATAAGATAACGAAAGTAGATCTGAATCAGAGCGGCGAAATACAGCTTGAGGATGATGTTGATGCCGTAAAACTTCTGGGGCTACGAGGAGAGCTTTGGTTGTACGATCACTGCCGACGATAATGATTTTAGATTTGAACGGATCAAGTTTAAAGGCACTTGATATTTCCTGAATGACAAATACTAGCTTTAAAGGACCGACCGTGTCAAAACAAATAGTTCACAAGGGGGTTATATGTTACAATCAAAATCGTGAAGGTGTAGTCTGATCGTCCGGGTGAGTGTAGTCCTTAGAAGGACTGTTGTCGGTGGTAGTGACAGTGATGTTGTTCAGCAATCACATTGCTGAACAACATCGACTTACCAACCACAACATTCCTTTGTATGGGACAACGGGAGATACTTACAGTGCATGCATTTTCCTTCCTGTCATGACTCAGGTAAGTGCTAATTACTATAGTTTACTTTTATTTACAAACATTAGCCTATCATCTCGAGGGAAGAACGAACGTTTTTGTGTTAGAAAAGATAAATTTGCACTAAATTCTTATGTAAAAACTAGAATTGCTCTTTCAAAGTAAAGTTTAAATGGATTTTAAAGAGTTATCCTCTCAACATGAAAACGAGGCTAGATAGTGGGTAGACCCTTTTCGCTTTCTGTTTCGGATTTCCTTAAAAGAGCTGCTATATGAACTAATATTAAAGCGATATACTTATTAGCATAGTTATTTTAAATTGACTTGGAGCTATTTGACTCTCGAGCAGTCTATCAACGCGGATTCGAAGTCCAAGGAGGGCATAGTAAGAATCTCCAAAAGCCGTGCTGCCCTCGAAAGGTGGCTCCTTACTGCTTACTCCTTACTGGCCCCCTACTGCATCAGTCACAACCTCCCTAGGAGAGATGTACAGTGATATCGAAGACAATCAGGCTAGTCATAAGGAGGGTCCTCCACAAAGAGTCAAGCGAGACAAAGAGGATGTACATGTAAGGAGGCTGACAAGTTGTTGTTCATCAAGACTGATGTCCAACCCCTTGAATCAGGCAGTGTGCGCACTCTGATTGCGTTGCATCATGGTCGTAAAACAGAAGTTGAGTCATTTCCATCTTGACGCGTTGGAGTGAACTTCTCTGGTGGCAGCGAGATAGCGCGAATATACGTGGATTGTAATGGAGATTCACTGTCTGTTGCCATTCCTTCTAAAGTTAAAACGTTTGACGGGCCTGCACGACTCCTGTCACTCCTCCGTGACGAATTCGTTCTTAGGAGGCAACTGACGTTATTCAGAAAGATTCGAAAATTAACTGCAATCTGCCTAAGAATCTCGACACAATTGGCAACAGTTAAACTCACAACTGACAGCACGATGAATGATTTCAGAGTCAGAAATTATATTGAATTTCCTAGAAGCGAGTTATTTAACAGGGAATTGACCTTTGATATGCAAACGCACATTAAAGAGACAGAGACCTTGTAATACACGAACTTTTTCCACCAAGGATAAGTACGGGATTTGTAAAAGGAGAAGCCCCACGCCTCCTAAGAACAAATATTGTCGCGCTCCACGTTTAGTAAAAGCGTACAGAGTTTCAATATACCCGTCGAGAATATCGGCGAGGAATATCGGCACTATGTTCGACAGCCATTTTTGCTTTAAGGATCATATTACTGACATTTGCAAATCTTCATTTTATCATTTGTGAAATATTAGCTATATCAGGAAATATCTTTCAGCGACCACTACTGAATTGCTGGTTCATATGTTTGTATCTTCGAAGCTGGATTACTGTAATTCCCTTTTGTATGGCTTACCAGCCTACACTATAAAAAAGCTACAACACGTCCAGAATGCCGCGGCGCGCCTCGTCCCACTTACAAAAAAGCATGATCACATTACGCCT